GCTTTGTTGACATTCCAGAAACAATACTATTAAATATGTCAACAGATCAAAAAAAATCCTACAAACTACGTAAAGCAGTTATAATTGGAGTGCTGCCACATAATCTAAGAAAAAATGATTCTTTGATTCATGACAGATGGCTCACTACTGGCATGAGAATAATCTTTATGTGTACAAGTAAACATGACTTAACTGAGCTGAATTTGAGGAATCTAGAATTACTTGTCTTATTCTGTTTTCAACTTTTTTTTTGGCAGTAAAGTAAAAGATAAAATTGAAGATGCTCCCTATCACATTTTTTCTCAATTGAAAATTCTCAGAAATCAATATGATAGGGTAAAAGAAATTGTGACTACATACATCCATTTAAGAGCTTGGTATGAAACAATGAAAATATTTTAACCTCTTTATTATCCAGTAATAATGCAGAAGGCCACAACTTTTCAGTTGACCATATTTTGAAACAAGGGGGTAATAATATTCTAGAAGGTATGCAAACTCGACTAAAAAAACACTAAAACTGAACTTGCAGAAACTAGTTGAATGGAAAAACAAAAAAGTACAAGAATCTGTTTTTACTTGTTCGCTTACAAAAGATAAGTTGTTATTGCTAAGATTGGCACTTTTGACAGCTCTTACTTTTAAAATTAATACCAAAAGTACTGAGCATGCTGTAAAACAATTGACAGTAGCATCTATGCCGGTAGTTAGACCAGATGCAAGAGATAGGTATATTAGAGCTAGATAGGTATATAAGAGCTTTTATTAGCTTTTAATATAAATAGATTTATTTATTATTTTTTTAATAGTGTTTTAATAATGTTATCAAAATATCATTTGGGTAAGATATAGGGATAAACCACCTGTTTTTTGTTGAAATTGCTTCACTAACACCACCTCTTTTTAATTTCTAAAATAAAATAAGTCTGAAGAACTTTTATTCATTTTAAACTTTATAAAAAATTTATTTGATTCTTCCCTTGAAAAGTGCAAAATCTGCACTGCATATAGGATCTATGTAAAATAATAACTATCAGACAAGTATCAAACTTACTTGCAATTTTCTGCAAATATTAATTGCATTCAATGTTTTCGTAAAAATACAATGAAAGTTTTTTTGTTTTTTTTTTAATGAGGTTTTATATACTTTTACAATTTCTAAAAGTGCAAATTTGGGTATTAAAACATCGTCAGATTAAAAAAAATTTCAGGAAGCTTTATTTAATACTCAAATTTACATAAGAATACATTTTTTTCTAAGCTTTTAGAGTGAAAATAAATTCTCGCTGTATCCTAGTATATATATTTGATGCGGCTACACCACTGTTTCTTGAAACTTTTTTCTACAAAAATCCGCATGGCAATGCAAAAACTGTTTTGTTTTGTCTTATTTGGTTATGCTACTGTTATTTGTATCTGGTAATTAATGCTATGACTTGTTCTCCGCAGTTATTGATAATCCTTATCTGACAAAAACTATCTTGGATATCTAAGAAAACCTGATAAGTGTTCCACTCTGATGCCTTCTTAACACCGGTATCTATTTGCGGTTCAAAGAAAGAAAGACCAACATATACAAAAGAAGGCGACTTAATGCCTTTGACGAAGAATTTCTTATGATCTTATTCGAATAAGATTAAACTGCGCAAGTAGTTTAAGATCATTCGAATTTCAGCTATTACCTTATTCTAAAACTAACTATAGGTAATACAAAAATACTAAATTTTATGACTCTCCTATTTGACCTAGAAATTACAAACTTTTTCCAAAACAATTACAACTTAAGGCTAGTAAGCTATTATCAAAATCCAGTGAGCATTATGAATTGCAACGCAAGCTCTAAAGTAGACATTTGAAGCTTCAATCAGGAAAAAGCAAAGGTTTAGAAGTTTTGAATAACCTCTTGTCTTTTTGGTCTTTAAAAACTCGGTCTAGTAAACCAGTAGTTGTGCACGAAGGTTGAGTAACTCAGGTGTACAGAAAGGTATATCGCTTGCAGGTATTAAAACGTTCTGATCCATTTATGACCATTGTTTTTCAAAATTTTAAAAGGTTTTTAACTCTGCTCAAAAAAATAGTGTCTATAACCATTGTTTCCATAACCAATAGAAATAAGATTATCGTCAAGATTACGTTCCAGTAAATTTTATGCACCACATTCTTTTTTCAAAAAAGTAGTATCAAACACTAACCTCAAATCTGCAAGATCAAAGATTCCGTTTGTCAAGTACCTGCAAATAAGTATTTGCCTGTTATGTGCAGTTTATGGAACTGCAAGGATTTTCTCTTTACCGCCTCCGGCAAGTCATTAAAAAAATATCAGAAAGAAGATTGTTATCCTAATGAGTGGATCATTGCTGTGAAGGATAATTTTGTCGGATATTTTCACAGTTTGCTAATATCTTTAGCGTGTACGTCCTATCGTACTGCAAGAAAATAACAAATGTGTCTACTAAACAACCTAGAACTAAAATAATTGTTTCTACCACAATCAGTGCTCAACAATCGAAATTTTTTATTTGAGTTACAATTAGGTATTGGTACAAGGGCAAGATTGACGAGCAAGGTATCCTGCATCTTTATTTTATTTTTCAGATTTGGACCCTCCTTTTTGTTAATGATTTCATGGTACAGTTGTTTAACATCTTTGTTTTGGTTCAGGTTGGCAATATTTTCTATTTTATTATACTTGTAGATATGTGTTGCTCACTCAATGAATTTTTGTCTATATTGTCTGGATAATATACTTTTAGAATATGTGTTGCTGCATTGTGTTGGTAATGAAAAAAGCAACTCAAGTTTACTTAAAACAAAATGTGGTGTACCCCAAGGATCCATTCTTTCTCCTCTCTTGTTTCTTATTTATATAAACGATCTTTCAAATGCTTCTAATTTCTTTAAAACTATAATGTTTGCCGACGGCACAAACTTATTTTACTCAGCAAAGACAATCAAAAACCTTTTTAAGAAAACAAATAAAACTAATATATGGTTTAAATCCAATAAACTGTCGCTCAATATAGAAAAAACTAAATAAATGCTATTTCACTCTAATCAACAAATTAAAAAAATACCCCTGAACCTACCAACACCTAATATAGAAAATATAGCCATCAAAAGAGTCTGAACACAAAGTTTTTAGGAATTCTAATTGACGAAAATATTTCCTGGAAACCCCACATAAACTACATTAACACAAAAATATCAAAGAAAATTGGTTTACTATACAAAGCAAGACCATTTTTGTCACAAAAAAACTTGTCTACTTTTCATTCATACATAGCTACCTGAATCAGGTAGTACCTGATGTATGCCAATATAGCATGGGGCAGTTCCCACAAATCTAAATTAGAACCACTTTACCTACGTCAAAAACACGCTTCAAGACTAGTATACAACAAAAACAAATTTGCTCATGCTCAATCGTTATTGGAACAAATGAACGCACTAAATATATTTCAAATAAATATTTTTCAAAATATACTTTTCATATTTAAATATAATCTGGTTCCAGAACATTTTACAGCACACTTTTTTAAAAACAATATAAAAATATACAATACAAGAGCAACAGGCAACTTTAAGATACCGTTTGAAACAACAAGACTCTCAAAGAGAACACTCTGAAAATAAAGCTAAAATCTACAATAATCAAATTAAACAACTATAAGGAATTTTTTTTAAATATTAATAAAAAAATTTAAAAAAATGTAGCTTAACTTTTAATACAAATCGATAACAAAAAATAATAATATTAATAACAAGGTATATATGTACAACATACATATATACCACATATGCAACTGATTTTTATGCGTATTACACGTCCAGAAAAAGGTACTCGATGACAAGACTGACTTTAGTTTTCTGCGAACTTCCTATAACTACTAACAAGTAATTCTTCTTATCAATCTTACTCAAATTTCGTTTTTATCATATTTATACACAAACATTAGTTTGAAATGTGGTAAATAAACTTATGGTCAAACAACTAAACACTTCTCCGAAAAATCAGCTAACTTATTTTTATATATATTTTATTTTATTTTAACTGGAATAATATAGAGATATATTTATCGGATTATATTTATGTACACGTTACTACATTGTTGTAAATGGTGTTTATTTTAATCGTGTCTCGGAGTCGTATCCAACTTTATTTTTGTTTACTTTGTATATTTCGAACTTTATGTTTATGCTATTTATGTTAGTATATCTTTACCGCCAATCTGTGATTGGTTACTTGTAAATACTTTGTAGTATACTTTGTACTATACTTTGTACTATACTTTGTAAATACTTTGTAAATACTTGTAAATACTTTGTAGTTAAAAAAAAAATAAAGAAAATGTCTATCATCTCTCTAATTTTTAATTTTTATCATCTCTTATTTTAAATTTTTCATCATTTTAAATTGTAATGAACATTTTTTTTTATACTATAATAAATATTCTAAACTTTTTTTTTTAATTTTTTTTTTAGGTTATTTAGGTGCTCCCAGAATTCCTTACGGATTTATCACGGAGCACTGCGGGAGAGCATTTAACTAGAAGTTCACGCCTCCTTCCTTACCAATGTCGCTTATTGGGCTAGAGCCGGTGTCGAAACCCAAACTTCTGGTTTCTGAGCCAGAATTCTAACCAGTGCGCCAAGGTTTTAAATATAAGGGCTATTTCTATACATGTTATTTAATTTGTTATGACTTACAACTTGAGTGGTTATTGACTGATGCCTGAACATCATAAATGAATGAGCACTTATCCACTATAAAAGGACTTCTCGATTTTTTTAGATTTACAAATTAAGGAATTATATAAAAAACCTTACTAAAAAAGCCTAACTTTTAAACTTAAGGTGCTCTTAATTGGCAATAGTATTGTTAACCGTTAAAAACAATTTAAAAACTTTCATAACTTTAAAAACTCATTTTTTTTTTCTTATTTAAATAAAAACCTCAGCTGATTCAAACTAAAAAAAACATTTAATTTTTGATTGTTCTGTTTATTACATTCGTAAATAATTTAAAAACAATAAGTTATTATAAATTACATATATAATTAAAACTTTTGATTTAATATACTCGTATAATTATTTAGTATATATATTTATATAATTTAATTAAGTTAACGTCAAAACCTTTGTATTAAATTACTTTACTTTATGACGACATCATCTCGTTTAAATGATAATCATTTTTCTTTTTTATTTCGCCATTTCTAATCCATTCAATGACGCCATAAAAAGTAACACCCAAGATCATTGTTGCTATAAGAATGTAAAGTTTTACGTTGGTACAGAAAACGTTGCCGTATGAAAACGCAACAACAAAACCAAGAGACTCCCATAGACGGTAATTCGAAAAGGCTGCTTCTTGGTTGGTTGGAAAAAGAAGACCATAGAATGCTGCGATGAAAATGTAACAAAAAATATAACTATTAATTACAAAAGCATGAATGTTTAAAAATAAGTATAATAGAGAATAGTGTAAGTTATCGCACTTTTTTTTCTTTATTCTCTTGACCAACAAATACAAAGAAGAAACAAAAAATCAATAAATAACTCTTAGACAAATATGGTTTTAAAAAATTATCACCGTTGACTTGAGTTTGCCATACAGCGTCAGCGAACCCCCAAAGACCTGCACCAATGTAGTAAATATATATGGTATTTTCAGTTGGTTCCCATATTAAAAACGTTGTCAATAAACCAAAATTTATTAGTGCAGCAAGTATCATAACAACAGGTCTTCCAGTTTTTTCAACAATTTTGCTGAGAACTAATGAAAAAATTGCGTCCACTGCTCCAAAACAAATCATAATAAGGCCAACTTTTTCAATACCTAATGCGCACGTTATGAAAGCCTTTTTAAAAATAAAAAATGTAGTTACAAAGTACATTTGCACCAAATTTGTTTTTAAGTTTTTATAAAATACAAGAAAACACAAAGTTATACCCAGCCAGCAAGTCATATTGGGGCCCAAGTGGGCAGCTCTATGCGGCCCAAATATCTTGCCCACATCCCGCCCAAAGAAAACTGTCGCTGGGCGTGAATTGAGGCCCAAGTGGGCAGCCTATGTGGCTGCATATGACCCACATGGGTCCCACTTTTTTATTTATTTAAATTTTTTATGGTATTTTGAATAATTATTTATAAATTAGATACATATAAAGGGTAACAAATATTATAATTTGACTAAAATTTATAAATTCGATACATATAACTTAATATGTAGTCATAAATATGCCAGTCTAACTTTATAAAAGTAAACAGGAAATCAAACATTGAAAGATTAAGGTAAACAATGACAAACATTTATAAATGTACCACAATATTTAAATGATAAAATAGTAAAAGTAATAATTTTATATAAATAAGTAAATTTAAACTTTTTATTTAAAAACGTATGTCAGGAAAAGACCTCTTCAAGACGTTTCATTTTATATACATTTTTACTTGTGAGTTTATAAAAACTCATATAGTGTATACACTTTCAAAAACATTTTATACATAAAAAAAATAATTTTCAAATACAATTCAAAAACTCTTTTACTACCACTAATACATATCATTGATAGCACTATTACATAACATTGATTACGGAGTCTCTAAAATGATTTGACTTTAAATAAAAAGAAGATTTTTCGAAAAAGAGTTAATTTGAATTTAGTTTACAATTTGAGAAAAGTTTTGAGACGTTATTACATTTGAGAAACGTAAAGGGGTTTTCATAAAGTAAATTTAGAAAAAATAAATTAAATTTAAAAAACAAGATGGAGTTTAACGCTTTTTTAACTTCATATATGGGCTCTAAATGGACCTCTTTTGAGCTAGCCCTTGAATATAAAATTTTAACTTTTTTAACTACATATATGGGCCCAAAATAGGCCCCATGTGGGTTAGCCCTTGAATACAAAATTTTGTATTCAAGGGCTAGCCCACATGGGACCCATTTTGTGCCCATACATAAAGCCCACATAGGGTCCACTTGAGCAAACCCATATGGGCCCCAATAGGAAATGTTTGCTGGCTAGGCGGCTTTGGTTTAATTGTTTATCAGTCCTTAGATTTTTTAATTTTCAAATCACATCATTTAATTATGATTTAACAAAAAAAGTTAAAAAAAAACAACTTTCAATAAAACTAACATTAAAAAAAAAAAATAGTTTATAAAAACTGTTTTTAAAATGCTATATGTTAAATATTATTTTTAAATAACATCAAAAGTTTAATTTAAATTAAATATTTTTTTAAATAACATCAAAACGTTTAAGTCTTTTTTTAAAAAAACACACTCAGTTATGAATGAGTTTGAAATATCTTCGGATGAACTTCGAACAGCCTTAAATTCACTAAAAACCAACAAGAATCCAGGAATCGACGAAATCAATGCAAGTGCTTTCAAATCAGTATTTGATATTATTGAATCGCCTCTTTTAACATTATTCAACTTATAAATATAAAAATTAAAAATAACAAGAGTAGTCCCTATTTATAAAAATGGCGTCGACTCTTTAGCATCCAACTATAGTACTATATCAATACTTTCTTACTTTTCAAAGCTTCTCAAACGTGTTATGTACAATAAATTATACAACTTCTTGAAACAAATAATATTCTGTAAAACAAACAATTTGGTTTTTGCAAGAGTCATTCAACATATCATGCAGTATTTGAACTAGTCAATAAAATTTTGAATGGTTTCAAAAATAATGAATATACTCTAGCCTTGTTTATCGATTTAACATAAGCATTCGGTACAGTTGACCACGAGATCCTCGTACAAAAACTAGAGATATATGGAGTAACAAACAACAATCTAAGATGGCTCAGAAATTACTTAAATAACAGAAAACAAGGGGATTCCATCACCACATCATGTACACAGTTACAAACATTTAGTTGTGGTATACTCCAAGGCTCCACTCTTGGACCTTTACTATTTTTAATCTATGTGAACGATATTTACTTAACTTCAAATATTCCTAATTTTACTCTTTTTGCAGATGATACGAATATTTTCTTAACTCACTCAAATATAAAAACAATATTTTCTACAGTTAATCAAGAGCTGCAAAACTTAAACGAGTGGTTTAAAGCTAATAAACTTTCCTTAAACATCCTCAAAATCAAATATGTTTTATTTCCCAAATCATCTAACTCTGTTAATTTACCACTTTAGCTTCCCCAGCGTATGATCAACAGCATTAATATAGAAAGAGACCATTTGATGAAAATCCCAGGAATAATTTTTCAAGAAAATCTTAGTTGGAAGAATCATATTTTACTCATCGAAAATAAAATCTCTAAGTCAATCGGCATTATGCATAAAACAAAACACCTTCTAAATAAAACTTGCTTAAAAATATATATTATTCGTTCATTCACATTTATATCAACTATTGCAATATCGTTTGGGCAAGCACATGCAATGCTAACAGAATACCCATTCCAAACCATTATTCAGGGAAATTGGAGCTCTAAATGTTTATGAACTGAACCTTTTCCAAAATGTATTACTTATGTTTCAATCGCAAAACAATTTACTACCAAAATACTTTGAAAATCAATTTTTCACCATTGGTCACAAACACCCAACAAAGTATTCTTTTTAAAACTTTAACATTCCGAAGACTTTTCTTAAAATAACTGATTTCTCTATCTTATCTCGAGAACCGCGGCTATGGAATTCGATCCTTAAAGAAGAAGTAAAAAACATGAAGTCATCAAATCTCTTTAAAGCATCTGTCAAACAGCACCTATTTATCTTAAGTGACGTCAACATACCTACTTTTAGAGATCAAATATAATAATAACTAAAACGAACTTATCCCTTTTGGATGACCACAAACGATGATTATATCACAATACAAATAGTTTTTCTTTTCTAAACCCATCTATCAGATCGTTACGTACAAGGATTTGTTTTTTACGTACGAGGCTAAGTATTTGCTTTATTTCTACTTATGAATTTTTAATGTCACGTTAAGCTCACGTGAAACTTATTGCAAAGTCGTAAATGAAAGGGGCTTGATGATAAGACTGTAGTCTTCTACTTCTATTGTCATTATTTTAATTTTTATCTTATTTATAAATGTATACATCAATTAAAGTTAATTGTATGTAAAAAATATATAGTAACGAAATATAAAAAAAAAAAAAAAAAAAAAAAAACTTGCTGAGTAAGGTTAATATAACTTAATTGTTTTAAATTAATTTTATTAAGAAACTCTTAAATTCATTTAGTGGCCTTATAAAAGCACATCATCACTAATAAGACTTCTATGTCATGAACAAGATTTTAGTTCAGAACCCATGGATCTATATCAGTATTTATACAACTATATTAGTGCGTTGCAGCGGTAATACTTGGCTATTGTACACTACTGAATGGCATTTATTTATTTTTTACCGATAAAATCAATGATAAATTTTTAACGATTAAGCTTTTAAAAAATATGTAACTGGTAATCTCGTTTCAACGTTTTTAGATTTTTAAGCTAAGCAACTTTAAAATATGAAAAAAACTACATATTTGGGTATCTTCATATGTATGAGTAATGAGGAAGTTATGCAAAAAATTGAGGCAAATAAAGATTGGGACAACAAAAACTCTAAAACATTAGCCCCAACCCCAGTCCCAAATATAGAAGCCTTCCAAAAAGTATCAATTTTTATCTTCTTAATATATATATATATTTTTGCAATCATAAACTAAATTTGTATTCATCGACAGACTATAAATTTTATTTATTATTCTCTTGATGTTCTGAAATTTTGACCAAGTAAAATTTACACCCCATCAATTTGAGGGGGCTGTAAACTTTATAATGTCATAAAAGCCTAACAACAAGAGATTAATAAATCAAATTTAAAATTCGTTGATATATAGATAGTAGTAGCAAGTGGTGGTAGCCAATTAACTAGAAGCAACAGTCATTTAACCATTACTGAACTGGCACTATTGGTAGGTATATGTTTAACTCTATCAGAAAGTGCTAATTTACATAAACCTACATAAAAACAACATAAAAATTACATAAAAAATTGTAATTATATGCTTAATTATGTCAAATTCAGACTCTCATCCAATAAAATTAAACTTTGTCAAAGATTAGAAGAGAACAAAAAAAAAGCTAGCTACTTAAACATTCACAAATTTAAATGGTGTTTTTCGTGCTGGAAATATACAAATAATGATGATGCAAACTTAGAAGATAGAAGTTGATATTTTTGGGAAGACCATTTTAGCCAATAGAATCATTTGTGAGAAGCAACCAATACTTTTTACTTAAGTATTAAGTAAATACAGTAAGACACCTCCTTTTTAATAGGAAAGAGAAAATACAACAGTCTTACAATTAAAAAGACAAATAGGTGGTTATTATAAAAATATTTAAATATATCATCACTAGAAATGATAGAATAAAATTTTTAAGTTTATTTTTGAAGATCGGAAAAGTATTGAATATATCAAAATTAGGCATAATAAATACTTTTATGCCTAATTTTGATATATCCATTACTTTTCCAATTTTCAAAAATAAACTTAAAATTCCGAAGATATGGTGCTTGAAATGTATTGCAAAATTTGTTAAACTTATTTCTACAAATTGGTTCATATACAAAAAATTTAATTCTAAGTAAATATTTATTAATTAGGTTTAGAGAAAAAAGGTCTTTAATAATAGATAAAGTTGAATTGTTTTCCCACATGTAAATAAAACATAAAATGTTATCAAAGTTGAGCTTGTAAATTTAAAGTATTTTCATCTCCATAAATATTGGTTTGGAATGAGTAAAACGGTCCGTAAAATTAACCAAGCGAATCACATGCTTCTGACGGCAATAAAGAAATTGTAA